TCTTCGGGGCCTCCGCGAACCTGCTCATGACTATAATCTTTATGTGAGTTTTTTTTTTTTTTTTTTTTTTTTTTTTTTGTTACTCTGGGGGTGGGCGGGTGATGTCTCGTTCTTGTTTTTTTTTTAAATCTCTCTCTCTCTCTCTCTCTCTCTCTCTCTCTCTCTCTCTCTCTCTCTCTCTCTCTCTCTCTCTCTCTTCTCTCTCTCTCTCTCTCTCTCTCTCTCTCTGACTTCGTTCGTCTTCTTGCTTAGTTTCTTGTTCGTTCATTCGTCCGTTCGTTCTTCTCTGTCTCTCGAGCGTTCGTTCCTTCTCTCCCTCTATCGTCCCTTCGCTTCCTTTCTCCCTCTGTTTACCGTTCTCCCGCTCTCTCTCTGACCTGCTAGATATCACTCTGTCTCGAGTTCACGGGCTCTCTCTCTCTCTCTCTCTCTCTCTCTCTCTCTCTCTCTCTCTCTCTCTCTCTCTCTCTCTCTCTCTCTCTCTCTCTCTCTCTCTCTTTCTCTCCATTTGAATTCTCAGCATTCAAATATACAGTAATAGTATAATAGAATATAATCCTCCTCACCTAAACCGCGCTTCTCTCCGCCCCCAGATTCATCATCATATTCACGACGAGCAAGAGCTACAGCATCAAGGACCTGCACGAGACGGAGAGCAAGGGCGCGGTCCGGCCGACGTCCCTGCGGTTCTTCAGCGAGCACCTGAACCACCACCTGCAGCCAGGGCGAGAGGTGAGCGACCCCGACACCCAGCGCACCGCCATGGTCCTCTCCGGCGTGAATTTCCACATCGCGACGCCCCGGCAGGAGAAGAGAAAGCTGGGGCGGACCCAGGTACGCCGCGACGCCCCCAAAGAAGTGGTCCCGAGCCACGCGACGAAGAAGCTCACGGACGCCGACATGAAGATCGTGCAGGAGGAGCTGACCTTCCCGCAGAGAAGGTCGTCGACGCAGAGGCCCCCGCAGCCGGCCAGGAGGGCGCTGGAAGGGGTCGACAACCCTTCTTACATTGAGACGGAGCCGAACGAGCGCGACTGCCGAAGGGCGGACGACACCGCGACCTCGAGGGCGGAAAACCCCACGTCCCCCGCGAGCCAAAGGGGGACCACGACGGCGACCCAGTGAAGCGCGAGTGCCTTGGCCTTTCACTGGCTCGAGTTGTGAGGTTACTTATGTACCGACTACTACCTTTTAATATACTTCATGAGTCTGAGGGAGTTGGTTCGTCCTGTGATAAGTAACTAGTTTAACCTGTGGTACGTTGTAGTGCCGCTGTCTATACACAAGTACTTACGATGATGAAGCAGCCGTCTTTACTTTCTTGAATAATCGTGCAGTGCAATGAAAACTGTTACTTATGAGTTAATCACCGTTACAAGGGTGAAGCATTGGATTAATCTGAAACTTCGAACTGAACAAAAGTAAGTGTTCAAAGTTTTGAACAAGTTCCACGTGGCCCATTTGGCCCAACCTTCTGTCCGTCCATTCTCCTTTTTTTCGTTCTACTTTTTCCTCCACTTCTCCTTTCTGCTCCTACCTCTTTCTCTCGAAATAATGCTCCCTTTGCGGAGTGGACGCAAGAGCGTTCAATAACCTCACTACTGAACAAGTTTCCATCCCTTGGCATAGAGTAGAATACCCTAGTTTATCAACGCTTTTGTGGTGGTGGAGGAGTTGCAAGGAGTGTCCAAGTCGCTAGAACATTAGGTTTACACGCTCTATTTATTAGCCAGCGGTTCAAGGGATAGACCTAAATTAAGGAGAAAAAAGTAACCAGTAACAGAGAAGAATAGAGGACTTGTCTGGGCCTTTCATTTCGACACTCAGCGTGGAGACAAATACAAAAAAGAAAAAAAAAGGTGTCTCGTGTGATTAAGCCAAAGTAACGCACCGAAGTCTAGTCATGTCTGGGATTTCTCTGAAGTGTAGCTGAAGGTGCAAAACGATTACAAAAAAATGAGTGTGTATAATTGAGATTCGTGGTGCTGATACTTTGTCTGATAGATGGGTAGAGTGTGTATGTTTGATAGGAAGATACTGTGAGAGATAGGTAGATAGTGTATCTGATGGGATTGATGTTTGATAGATTAGATAGTGTGATCTAATACATAGATAGATAGGTGTTTAGATAGATTAGATAGATAGTGTGCCCAGATAGATAAGATAGTGTGCCCGCAGATAGATAGTGTAGAATAGATAGACCCCGCCAGATAGATAGATAGTGTGCCCGCCAGATAGATAGTGTGTCCGCCAGACAGATGGACTGTGCGATTGAAAGATGGATAGATAGTGCGTCTGATGGAAAAATAGATAGAAGTAAGAGTACAAGGCGAGGATGTGAAGGCTATTGTTAAAGAAGGATAAGTAACATGAGAATGATGAGGGTGACTGTGTGATTTTGAGATCCGTGTGTGTGCATCTATGTGGGTGGGTGTGTGGGTGTGGTTGTGTGTGTGGGTGGGTGAATTAGGTGAATAAAACACCGTGGTTCATGGTGAGT